ATGTCACATTTCAGTGCATTTTTGACCCACTCTCCAATATCTTCTGGAGTGAATATACCAACTTTCCTCATTGACTGACGACCTCTGTCATCATTTAATGGAGAATGCCTGGTTTGTGTTAAGGAACAAAATTTGATAAGACACTTTCGTGTTCTCACAGTATCACCAATAATTTTCTATAAATACCAGCATTCAAAATAATTCAGTCTTTTCTGTTATGCTATATTATTACCTTTAATTCATCTTGAAACTGCATTTTCAGTCCTGGAATTTTTCTCATTGGACATTCTGGAATCATATCCTTTTCACAACTGTTCTCATAGAGTCTGTCAGCATGGGTCAGGCAAACAAGAATTGGAGTATCAGCAAAATCTTTTTTAAAAATCTTCATCCAATCCATAGCAGAGCTAGTATGAAACCTCCTATTAAAACAGAACGACAGTTTATAAGTTAATATAGAAATATACTTAATTCTATAATACAATTAGATCTACGTGTTGATTAAACACCAGTGAGAAGAATTTTATATGCAAGCTGGGGTGAAGTGTTTATATAAATAAATAAAAGCTTTATGGTACATTTAAATGTGCAGATTTGCATGGTACTAACTCATATCCACAGACAAAAATGACAATTTGTGCAAGGCCCACAAGTAACTTAGCTAGATCACCAATAGACTCATCTCTATCATCAACTCCAGGGAAATCAATAACACTCAATCCTTCCACCGATGAGTCTAAATTATATATAAAAGGGACTGTAGTACGAGCTCCTTGACTTGTGCCTTGTACAGTCTATTGAAAAATAATATCAGGTAATGATTATATATTATCTATGTACCTCAACATTAAAAATTTTATTAACAAGTGTTGATTTCCCAGAATTAACAAGCCCTATCACACCAACTGTAGTATAACTAGCTAATCCTTCTCGTAACTGATGAATATTTAAGGACCAAATCAACCAACGAGCTAGAAGAGGACGGTAGGCATCAGGAACAAGAGCTAGCCC